TTTTCCTTTTAAAAAACCCAAAAACCAAAAAAAGGGTTAAAAGGGGGGTTTTGGGGAAAAACCCCCCCGGGGGGGGAAAAAAAAAAAAAAATTTCCCCAAAAAAAAAAAGGGCCCGGGGAAAAAAAAAATTTTTTGGGGGCTTTTTCCTTTTCCCCTTTTTTTTCCTTTTTTTTTTAAAAAAAAAAAAATTTTTTTTAAAAAAATTTTTTTTTTGGTTTTTGGGGTTTTTTTGTTTTTCCAAAAAAAGAAAAAAATTTTCTTTTTAAAAACCCCCCCCCCCAAAAAAACCTTTTTTTAAAATTTTTTTTTTTAAACATAAAAAATTTTTTAGAGGGGGGGTTTTTTCCCCCCCTTTTAAAAAAGGGGAATTTGGAAAAATTTTCCCCTTTGGGGAAAAAAATTTTTTTTTTGGGGGGGCCCCCTTTTTTAAAAAAAAAAAAGGGAAAAAAAAATTTTTTTTTTTAAAAAATTAAAAATTTTTTTTGGGGGTTTTTTTAAAATTTTTTGGTTTTAAAAATTTTTTTCCCTTTTAAAAAAAGGGGAAAAAATTTTTCCCCAAAAAGGGGGGGGGCCCCCCAAAAAAAAGGGGTTTTTTTTCCCCCCAAAAAGGGGTTCCCCTTTTTTGGGGCCCCCCAAAAAAACCCCCTTTTTTGAGTTTTATGTTTTCGTTTCGTTTTAACCTAATACTATATAGTGCGTAATCTAAAGAAAGAAACAACTAAAATGCAGATACATATGGTTTAATAATATTTTGCAGGATTGCTCTGAGCACGTCTCATGATGTCAGAGAAACAGTTTAACGAAGAAAATGTAAAAAGCGTCAAAATTGTCTCACAAAAGTCACAAAACATTTTTTAAATATGTGTATTAACATTCTTTATTGAGTTAAAATACATTGTGTCCATAAATAATGTAAATATGGTGCTAAAACTACTTATTTATATCCTTCACTCACTAAAGAACGCTAATACACATGAGTAAAAAATGGCAGATTTAGGAAATTTGGGGCCCTAGGCAAAGACAGGCATGGGCCCCTTTTATTGGAGAAGACAACACATAAAACAGAGCCATTCTCCAGATAGAGAAATGTTAATAGAATAGACATCCAGTATCTGTTCTAGGTTGTGTCCCTCTCTTCTTGTCCCTTTTCTTCTTGTTTTCCTCTCTATGTTTTGTACTCAGCTGACTTTTCATGCTGTCTCTAAAGGAATGAAAGATTTTTTCCAAGCACTAAGCTCACTTAGCTGATTGCTCCTTCCTGTGTTTCCAAAAAGGCCAAAGTAAATAACCCAGTCCTTCTTTTCACTGTAGACAAGCCATGATCTGCTTATCTGTTCTCCATGTTTCATTTGGATGAAATAATAGCTGCATGAATCATGACAGCAGACAAGATAGAGGAGAGCAGGAGGCGGGGTTACCAATCTACTCGCTCTGGAGAGCAGAGTTCGCTGCTTTTAGATGTTGTCTCCAAAGTCTCCAGTAGCAGAAAAAAGTCTCTAGATTTGGCGCTAGGAGCTTTTTAGAAATCAAAGTGCTAGAGGGGTCTGAAAAGTGGCTATTTATAGCGACTAAAGCGCTAAGTTGGCAACACTGCTCTTTGCATGGTTTGTTTTCAAATGGTTTGCTGCTGTCTGTTTGGACCTTTCTGAACATGTGCAGCAAATGGACTGATCCAAGATGGTGGACACTGAAGGGGGGGGGGGGGCTGAGACACACTTAATATTATCAGCGTTCTGATGGCATTTTAACATTTTAACAGTACATGTAAAGTAAACAGAGTTTTATGGGGCCCCCAGGAACTTGGGGCCCTAGTATTGCCTAGAGGTAGAAGGTCAGGAAAAGAGTAGTTAGCATCTCTGCAGACCCCACACACCCTGGACATGCTTTAACCTTCAGGGCAGCGCTGCAGAGCACAGTTGACTCTCTGAGGGACACAATGAAGCTTTTAAAGTCTGCTGCTCCATGAAACAATTGAAAAAGGGACAAAGTTTCTATTGTTTCAGACCTTTTTGGCTAATCGAGCTGGTTTTGATCGTTTGATATAATCTCATTCATGTTTTATACATTTAACTGGATAAACAGACTATAAGAAATAGTGACCATGAACTCAATTTAGCCCTTTTAAAATAATTTGCCCTCCTTTCCTCAGCAGTAACCTTTGGTTTCATTTCATTCCACTGTTCCTTGTTCTCTGATCAGAGCACGGTCGGCATCTGATCTGAGCAGCAGCTGTTTCTCAGACGTATTTCGTTTTTCCAGATTTAAGAGAATCCCCCGCCACAGTGATTACTGCATCTCAGACTAAACTGTCTTATCAGCTCCCCCTCCCCCTCTCGTGCTCCCTTGACATATTAACGTCCTTCCTGTAGCTGGATTCAGGGCGGTACACGTGAGCGGAGGGGATCTTCCGAGAGCAAAGCCAAGTGACGGCTGACTGCTGGCCAGGAGGCCTCATCTGGCCGCTGCCTCGCTCAAATCCACCAAAACACTGAATAAGTGGAGCAGCGTTAAAGAGAAAAGGCTGTTTTAAACCCACAGACTGAGAATCATTAATTAGATGGAATAAATAGGGATGAAACATAAAAGACTCTAATATTAGACCCATTGATATAAATTACTGGACAGAAAAATCCTTTGTTACAGGAGACCCCAAAAAATACAGTTAAATACGACTCAAAATGTATTTAAAAATATGATTACATTTATTGTGAAAGAACAGAGAGACAGACAGGAAATATAAAATAACTCAAAGGTTGTATTTTAGAGTGGCTCAGGTTATCCTGAGCTATCTCTATAGTTCTGCTGCTATAGGCTTAGACTGCTGGAGGACATAGGGACCCCTTTTTCATCATTCTGCTTCATTCTATCTCTATTCTCCCACTCTGCAGAATCTGTTAGTTCAATCTCTAACGTTCTGCTCTCTCTGCTTTTTCTCATAGTAGCTTCATCTGGTCTGTTCCTGTTTGGCTGTGACTCCATCCTGGAGAGAAATATCAGCTGTGCTGCTGCCATCAACACCTTTGTTTCTAGATGTTGGAGCTTGGCCTGTTTTCCAGTGTAGTCCTGTTTCTCTGACTGTGACTAACTGGATGTGCTTTCTTCATCCTCTGACATGGGAGCTTGCTCGGAGCTCGTCTGCCTGGCTGTGTGTTTCCTGGACGGGGCCGCCTGTGGAGCTTGTTGACAGTTGCCTTTTGTATCTATGCTTCTTTTTCTATGTCTGCTTCTGTCTCCTTGAACCCCAGTGGGCTTCAGCAGATGGCCGCTCACACTGAGCCTGGTTCTGCTGGAGGTTTCTTCCTGTTCAAAGGGAGTTTTTCCTCTCCACTGTCGCTACAAGCATGCTTATTGTGAGGGATTGCTTTAGAGACAATGAATCGATGCAATCAACAAGTGACCTGAGATGACGTGTGTTGTGAATTGGCGCTATAGAAATAAACTGAACTGGATTGAATTGAATTGACTATTTTTTTTTGTTATTAAACTGAAACATTTGTTCACTTCATGCTATGTCTTTGTTTGCGTTTATTAAAAACTGTAAGCTTTCTTTCTCCTACAGTTCTAAGTTTTATTAGAACTGTAGATCACTTCATTTAATTAATATCAGTTGGTGTTCGACCTCACTGAGCTGTTGCTTTACTGGCTCTATTCAATAGCTGCGTATCGACTCCATCTGGCTTTCGTTCAGGTACACGGTTCTACCAGCAGATGGCGCCGCGTCTTTCTAAGTCTGCTCATCGGTCCTGTGCTGTAATTCTATTTATGCTCGAACAGGACTTTCTAAAAATCTTGCTTCACAGCATTGGATGCAGGTCCAGCAGATTCCATACTGCCATTAGACTGATGAATGTTTTCTAAAATGGATTATTTTATTGTATTTTATTATATTTATTATATTTTATCATTTTACATAAAAAAAACTAAAATATTAGAACTTTAAGTTTACAGTTTTAGTTCATATGTTTATATAACTGTTTTTATATATTTTGTTTTAAACAAAATTTATTTTTGTGTTACACTTGTGTAAACAAAATGACAAATAAATCTGTATAAGTCTATCTTCAGGACAGACGGTCGGTACGTATCACTGATTCCCAAAGTCGGGGTTCATGACCTCGTTTATGGTCACAGATCAACATTTTAGGGTCTTGAGATCCTTTAGAGGAATTAAACAAATGATAATAGTGAAGATTTTCATTTGTTTAAAGATATTTAAACAGAATTTACAAGTAATGTAAACATATTGGTTGTTGATGCTGTTTTTATTAATATTATATCTTCTGTATGGTTAGGAATGTTAGTAGTTTGGGTCATGTGACCATTCTGTGGGTCAGAAACAGTTTGGAAGCTCCTGGTGTATAAAACCTGATTTTATCAGGATCATAAAGCTGTTTGTACAGATTTAGAAAAGACCTATAACTGTCAAAGCAACAAGTCATCCAGTCTTTTAAAACCTATTTTGGTAACTTCTGATCCTCCTTCTGCAGCAGTGAAAAGCCATCAAGGCTCATGGCTGTCATGTGATCATCAGAACTGTAGTCACTGCAGAAAATCATCAGTTCCTCTTGTGTTTGAATCCTTCTTTTCTTTATAATCTTTTAAATCCTCTAGGTGCCAGGTGGGACGCAAATAAACCATATTATGAAAACTTTCCAGTTAGAACTATTCTTACATTCCTCTCAATTATACTGAATTTTAATTTAATGCTGCACTTTTTCACATAAAAATATATGAATGACATATGCACACCACCAGAACTGAACCCAAACCTCTCTAAAAACACCAAATTAAAATGATTATATAAGTTAAATCCGTGTCTTAATCCAGGTTTAATGCAAAGATGGCACCTTACCAGTCAAAGTAAGGTTTGCTTTAAACTTCCTTACATGAAAGTGGGAGGCCTCACAGACCTCTGCTAACTGGAGTTCATGGCGAACTCTGCTGACCCGGCAGAGCAGCCGGTCATCATTCAGCGGCGGCAGAAAGCAGAGCGACTCACGTGACGTCTCCAGCGTAGTGGCGGATGCGGAAGTGCTTCTGGAAGTCCATGGTTTTATCGGTGGGACTGAGCTGGAAGTCGGAGGGGAAACGGCGTGAAAACTTTTTATTTCTATCACATCTATCATTGCTGGTGTCAGTTTTAAGCAGAGTTGTTATAAAAATATTTTTGTAGAAGTTAGAGTATCAACTTAAGCTTTTTACTCCAGTTAATATGTAAAAGTACCATTTTTAAAACTATAAAGTATAAAAGTAATGCAGAAAAAATGTTAAGGACAGAAGCTTTACTGCTCTACCTCATTAAAGGAACATTTTTCTAATATTCTGGATGATAACTTCCTCAGACTTTATTTTCTTAGTTTTATAACTAATGGTAACAGTGTCACATTTAACTTTGCATCATCTTGATAAACTATTTATTTTGGTATGTGGTGAGCAACAAGTTGGGGCAGCACCGAGTCCAACCACAAAGAAATTAACTGTCTGGATAAAAGTAATTATTCTGATGTTTTTTATTCGTTTATTTATTTTTAATACCAAAAGGCCATTAAGAAAATTAGCTTAAAAGAAACAAAACTAAGAGTTTATTTTTAAAATGTAAGGAGTAGAAGTTAAGAGTAAAGTATAGAATCCAACATTTCTACTTAAGTAAAACTAAGTATTTGTACTTTGTTACTTGGTTTTAAGATGCTTCAGAAGTTTTCTTCTCATGGTTTCTACAATCCTGAGGAAATGACCTCATAGAAACGCTCTGCTGCCCTCTACTGGCTACACCAACAACTGCAGCTCTCTCTGACCCTCCTGTTTACATCTATTCATAAAACAAATTACAGAGCAGTAATGAGGCAGGTTTATATTATTAATTTAATTTAGGAAGTCTGGCCCTAAATGGTGACTATTATCTACCACTTATTGAAAGATAAATGTCCTTAATCTATATTTAATCTCTTAAAATGTACATTAATCTGTCCATTATCCCTTAAATAACCACATCTTGTGTTTGTAGATTAATGTGACTTACAGAGCAAGAATAGGATTAAATATTATAACAAATCAACTTTAACAGTCAGAGGATGTTTCATCATCACTGCTTCTTGAGTCAAACCTACAGTGTCACACATCCAGCGGGAAACTTATTTTACCTTGAAAAGTTAGTTTTTTTTAAACAGATCCAAATCCCTTTTTTTTATCGAATTTTGTGTTTTTTATCGTATTAAATATCTTTTTATCTTTGCAATCGGACAGGTGAATTTCCCCTATCAGGGATTAATACAATAAGTAAGTAAGAAAGCAAGTAAGTAAGTAGGTAAGTAGGTAAGTAAGTGAGTAAGTAGGTAAGTAAATAGCTATGTAAGTTAAGTACGTAGGTAAGTAAGTAGGTAAGTAATTAGGTAGGTAACTAAGTAAGTAGGTAAGTAAGTAAGTGAGTAAGTAAGTAGGTAAGTAAATAGCTATGTAAGTTAGCAGGTAAGTACGTAGGTAAGTAATTAGGTAGGTAACTAAGTAAGTAGGTAAGTAAATAGCTATGTAAGTTAGCAGGTAAGTACGTAGGTAAGTAATTAGGTAGGTAACTAAGTAAGTAGGTAAGTAAATAGCTATGTAAGTTAGTAGCTAAGTACGTAGGTAAGTAAGTAGGTAAGTAATTAGGTAGGTAACTAAGTAAGTAGGTAAGTAATAAGTAATTAAGTAAGTAGGTAAGTAAATAAATGAGTAAGTAAGCAAGCAAGTAAGTAAGTAGGTAAGTAAATGAGTAAGTAAATGAGCAAGTAAGTAGGTAAGTGAGTAAGTAAGTACGTAAGTAAGTAAGTGAAGTAAGTAAGTAAGTAGGTAAGTATGTGAGTAAGTAGGTAAGTAAACAGCTATGTAAGTTAGTAGTTAAGTATGTAGGTTAGTAAGTAGGTAAGTAAATGAGTAAGTAAATGAGCAAGTAAGTAGGTAAGTGAGTAAGTAAGTACGTAAGTAAGTAAGTGAAGTAAGTAAGTAAGTAGGTAAGTATGTGAGTAAGTAGGTAAGTAAACCGCTATGTAAGTTAGTAGTTAAGTATGTAGGTTAGTAAGTAGGTAAGTAATTAGGTAGGTAACTAAGAAAGTAGGTAAGTAAGTAAGTGAGTAAGTAAGTAGGTAAGTAAATAGCTATGTAAGTTAAGTACGTAGGTAAGTAAGTAGGTAAGTAAATGAGTAAGTAAATGAGCAAGTAAGTAGGTAAGTGAGTAAGTAAGTATGTAAGTAAGTAAGTGAGTAAGTAAGTAAGTAGGTAAGTATGTGAGTAAGTAGGTAAGTAAACAGCTATGTAAGTTAGTAGTTAAGTATGTAGGTTAGCAAGTAGGTAAGTAATTAGGTAGATAACTAAGTAAGTAGGTGAGTAAGTAAGTGAGTAAGTAAGTAGGTAAGTAAATAGCTATGTAAGTTAGCAGGTAAGTACGTAGGTAAGTAATTAGGTAGGTAACTAAGTAAGTAGGTAAGTAAATAGCTATGTAAGTTAGTAGCTAAGTACGTAGGTAAGTAAGTAGGTAAGTAATTAGGTAGGTAACTAAGTAAGTAGGTAAGTAATAAGTAATTAAGTAAGTAGGTAAGTAAATAAATGAGTAAGTAAGCAAGCAAGTAAGTAAGTAGGTAAGTAAATGAGTAAGTAAATGAGCAAGTAAGTAGGTAAGTGAGTAAGTACGTAAGTAAGTAAGTGAGTAAGTAAGTAAGTAGGTAAGTATGTGAGTAAGTAGGTAAGTAAACAGCTATGTAAGTTAGTAGTTAAGTATGTAGGTTAGTAAGTAGGTAAGTAATTAGGTAGGTAACTAAGTAAGTAAGTAAGTGAGTAAGTAAGTAAGTAGGTAAGTATTTGAGTAAGTAGGTAAGTAAACAGCTATGTAAGTTAGTAGGTAAATATGTAGGTAAGTAAGTAGGTAAGTAATTAGGTAAGTAACTAAGTAAGTAGGTACAGTGCAGCAAAAAAGTATTTAGTCAGCCACCAATAGTTCAAGTTCTCCCACTCAAAAAGATGAGAGAGGCTGGTAATTTTCATCATAGATATACCTCAACTATGAGAGACAAAATGAGAAAAAAAAATCCAGAAAATCACATTGTCTGATTTTTAAAGAATTTATTTGCAAAATATGGTGGAAAATAAGTATTTGGTCAGTTACAAACAAGCAAGATTTCTGGCTCTCACAGACCTGTAACTTCTTCTGTAAGAGGCTCCTCTGTCCTCCACTCGTTACCTTCTTTAATGGCACCTGTTTGAACCCGTTATCAGTATAAAAGACACCTGTCCACAACCTCAAACAGTCACACTCTAAACTCCACCATGGCCAAAACTAGAGAGCTGTCAAAGGACACCCGAAACAAAATTATAGACCTGCACCAGGCTGGGAAGTCTGAATCTGCAATAGGTAAACAGCTTGGTGTGAAGAAATCAACTGTGGGATCAATTATTAGAAAATGGAAAACATACAAGACCACTGATAATCTTCCTCGATCTGGGGCTCCACGCAAGATCTCACCCTGTGGGGTCAAAATGATCACAAGAACGGTGAGTAAAAATCCCAGAACCACACGGGGGGACCTAGTGAATGACCTGCAGAGAGCTGGGACCAAAGTAACAAAGGCTACCATCAGTAACACACTACGCCGCCAGGGACTCAAATCCTGCAGTGCCAGACGTGTCCCCCTGCTTAAGCCAGTACATGTCAAGGCCCGTCTCAAGTTTGCTAGAGAGCATTTGGATGATCCAGACGATGACTGGGAGAATATCATATGGTCAGATGAAACCAAAATAGAACTTTTTGATAAAAACTCTACTCGTCGTGTTTGGAGGAGAGAGAATGCTGAGTTGCATCCAAAGAACACCATACCTACAGTGAAGCATGGGGGTGGAAACATCGTGCTTTGGGGCTGTTTTTCTGCTAAGGGACCAGGACGACTGATCCGTGTGAAGGAAAGAATGAATGGGGCCATGTATCGTCAAATTTTGAGTGAAAACCTCCTTCCATCAGCAAGGGCATTGAAGATGAAACGTGGCTGGGTCTTTCAGCATGACAATGATCCCAAACACACCGCCTGGGTAAGAAGGAGTGGCTTCGTAAGAAGCATTTCAAGGTCCTGGAGTGGCCTAGCCAGTCTCCAGATATCAACGCCATAGAAAATCTTTGGAGGGAGTTGAAAGTCCGTGTTGCCCAGCGACAGCCCCAGAACATCACTGCTCTAGAGGAGATCTGCATGGAGGAATGGGCCAAAATACCAGCAACAGTGTGTGAAAACCTTGTGAAGACTTACAGAAAATGTTTGATCTCTGTCATTCCCAACAAAGGGTAAATAACAAAGTATTGAGATGAACTTTTGTTATTGACCAAATACTTATTTTCCACCATATTTTGCAAAGAAATTCTTTAAAAATCAGACAATGTGATTTTCTGGATTTTTTTCCCTCATTTTGTCTCTAATAGTTGAGGTATATCTATGATGAAAATTACCGGCCTCTCTCATCTTTTTAAGTGGGAGAACTTGCACTATTGGTGGCTGACTAAATACTTTTTTGCCCCACTGTAAGTAAGTAAGTAATTGAGTAAGTAAATAAGTAGGTAAGTAAGTAAATGAGTAAGTAAGCAAGCAAGTAAGTAACTAAGTGAGTAGGTAAGTAAATGAGCAAGTAAGTAAGTAAGTAGGTAAGTAAATGAGCAAGTAAGTAAGTAAGTAGGTAAGTAATTAGGTAGGTATCTAAGTAAGTAAGTAAGTAATTGAGTAAGTAAGCAAGCAAGTAACTAAGTAAGTAGGTAAGTAAATGAGTAAGTAAGTAAATGAGCAAGTAAGTGAGTAAGTAAGTAGGTAAGTAATTAGGTAGGTATCTAAGTAAGTAAGTAAGTAAGTAAGTAATTGAGTAAGTAAGCAAGCAAGTAACTAAGTAAGTAGGTAAGTAAATGAGCAAGTAAGCAAGTAAGTAAGTAAGTAAGTAAGTAGGTATGTAAATAGCTATGTAAGTCAGTAGGTAAGTAATTAGGTAGGTAGCTAAGTAAGTAGGTAAGTAAGTAAGCAGGTATCTGTCTGTCTGTCTGTCTGTCTGTCTGTCTGTCTGTCTATCTATCTATCTATCTATCTATCTATCTATCTATCTATCTATCTATCTATCTATCTATCTATCTATCTATCCAAACAGAGAGAGAAAGGTCAAACAGGCGAATTTGGAGATTTGTTAAAGTGTCTCAGAGGTAAAGAGTCTGACCTTGCGGGACGTGTAGTGAGGATGCTGAGCCAGCTTGGTGTCCATGCTCTCCAGACAGACTGTGTCGGTCACCTTCCCAACAGTGAGACAAGCCTCGTCTAGAATGGAGAGGATCCCTTTGTGCTGCTGCTCCACCAGGTCCACGATGATCTGGTTGTTGAAGTAATCAATCTGCAAATGAAACCAAACGTCAAAGAAGAGTTTGTTTCAGTTATTTTTACAGCGTTCTGCGCATTTTTTATGAATGTGTGTTTTTTTTTTCAGGGTTAAAATCAGCAACTTCAACAAGCTTAAAGTTCTTATTTTTGAAACCAAAGAATCTGTTCCAAATGAAACAGCCTCATCTGGTAATGCTCATCGTTCCCACATTTAAACATCCCTGCCACCATTTAAGCTGTGGATAAAAATGTCGACCTCAAAACAGAGACGCAACTTTTTAGCTGAAATAACATTTAAACTTCCTACAGAAAGCAGCTTGGTTGGTTTATAGCATGATGCTTAAATATGAGTTTCTCAGACTTAGGTAGAAGGAGGTAGAAAAGCTTCTAAGTGAACCAAAAATCTCTTTCTTAGAGATGAATTCCTCTTTACGTCTAAACAGCTGCCCATGTGGATCAGGAACAAATTATGGAAGAGGTTCTTTTATATGAAACAGCTCAGAAATGTAGGAAGACACAGACATATCGTGATGTTTTTCCTCACATGCTGCCAGGTGATTCCCTCTCTCTGGTATTCCTCCTGCTCCTGCTGGAGGATCAGCTCGATGAACAGCTGCTGCAGCTTCTCGTTGCAGTAGTTGATGCAGAACTGTTCAAAACTGTTGTTGTCAAAGATCTCAAAGCCGTAGATGTCCAGCACTCCTATGACCGTGTTCTTCCCATGAAGCACTGGGTTGTAGTCTTTCACCTCGATGATGCCGTTGATGCGGCTGACGATCCAGCCGAAGAGCCTCTCGTACAGCGCCTGAAGCATCGCAGAGTCCGGGTTGATGTCAGAGAATGATCTCCACTGATAAACGGTGTTTATACCCTGAAGGCCTTACCTTGGCGAAGGCATCCCGACCGAAGCAGGCGTCCTTCTCTGTGTGCCCCTTCTCGATGACATCACCGCCGCCGGTCGCCACGGTCCGGTAAAGCAGGCCCTTGGTGACGGATTCCGGGTCCGTGGCCGTCAGTTCTGAGATGTGGGTCACTGTGTCCTGATCCACAATATGAACGATCTCACCTTCGCTCCCAAACTCCACGTTACCCTGAAAGCATCACAGCGAAGTTCCACTGGGTTTATTATGAAAGTTAGAAACCAGTGGATTCAATTAATAAAACAACTATGATGGGCGTTCACTGTGCGCAATTATTTATATCTCTATACAGGCTAGCTGACAGCTTTGGTCCAGGACAACTTCATAAATAACAAATGTTGATATCAATGGAAGATTTAAATACAAATTTTAAATTCTGATATCAATTTAGATGTAAGATATATAGTCAGATTTAATAAGTATATTTAAGAGTTAATATATATATTTAAATTTAACATTTAGATATAAATTCAAGATTTAGGTTAAGCTATTTAAAATTAAAATGTAAAAATAGGACTATGATATTAATTTAAGATTTAGATAAAAATCTTATTTTTTTTCTTCTAAATAAAATATCTAAATAGAATTTTTAAAATGTTAATTTAAGATTAAGATACAAATGAAAGATTTGAAAATAAATATAAAAAAAAAAAAAATATATATATATATATATATATATATATATATATATAACACTTAAATAGAAATAAATAGAAATGTTGACACAAATTTAAGATGTAGATATAACTAAATGATTTAGTTTGCCTGTTAATGTTAGAAAAAAAAGCACTAAATGTAAAGAAAAGGAAACTTACAGAAGAGGATTAGGGCCACTGGAAAAAAAAAGTTAACTGATTTTTAAATTTTATTTCAGTTTAACATTCTTGACTTTTTTATTGTCAGAATTCAGTCAGAATTCTGAGATCAAAGTCAGAATTCTGAGAAAAAAGTCAGAATTCTGAGATTAAAGGCACACTATGCAACATTTTTCAGTTAATTAATGTGTTCCATAACGTTATGGATGATTAAATGAGTCATTTCAGGTTGAACAAAGGTATTCTCGGCCGCCCTGGTGGTCTGTGGGGGAAATACCGCACTTGCAATTGCAGGAGCACCGACCCGCACCCACAGGCTCAGAAGTCTCGTGAGAGTCAGTCTTGCTTTACGGCCGAGAACTGCTACACCCCCCAGTTAAAAGCATTCTCGTTGCTAGCACAGTGTGATCCGCACAGATCCTTGTGCAGTTATGCTACGTTCACGCAGCAAAAGCAGCAAAATCGCGTCTGCTGCTTCCTTTTTGCTGCTTGTACCAGTTAGTTACTGACGCACAGCTGAAGCAGCTTTGCTGCTCTGGCTGCGCGGTGCAAAAGTGTGTCTGACGCGCGTTGGGCGGAGCTTCACTAACCTTTCTCTGCCCTGCAGCTATATTTGCTGTGATCAGTGGGAATAAAGTAGTTTTAATATGTGTTTAAGTGAGAAAATACACCTGAAAACGTAATCAGTGCCGTCAGTTCATTCAGATTATTATCCTGCCTTCAATATTTTTTCTGTCGGAGACGCTCAGACACACACACCAGCGGCGCGCCGACAGAAGGAACCCCTTCATCAGCAGCCTCTGGCCGGGTCGCCTCCTCGCGGTTCACCGCGGCAGCTGGTAGGTGTTTTTGATCTAAATAATCCAAACTGCATATTCTGCCGGCAGATTTCTGCATTTTAAGTTAATTTAGGCGTCAATAAACTGTTTAAGAGGAGAGATCATAGCCTCTGATCATCAGCGCTGTGTCTCTCTCCCTGCTTCAGCTGCTCAGACGCGCTCGGCCTGCTGCTCAAAACGCGCCGCGGGACCTTTTGCTGCGCCTTGACGCGCGTCAACCATTGACTTTGCATGTAAACTCGCTGCTTCTGTCGCGCCAGCTGCGGTGTGAACGCAGCATTAGTCATTCGTTGCGTTCGCCTGTCTGCTAAGCTCAAAACAACTGCGCCTGGCTTGACGGAGAAACCAGGAGAACAGCTGTGCATATTTACGACAGTGCACTTTTACTTTCGCCCTCTGGGGGGAGCCTCGCTGGAAAATCAACACCGGTTGCATATTGTACCTTTAAAGTCAGAATTCTGATATTAAAGTAAAAATTCTGAGAAAAAAGTCAGAATTCTCAGAAAAAAAAGTCAGAATTCTGAGAAAAAAGTCAAAATTCTGAGATTAAAGTCAGAATTCTGAGAAAAAAGTCAGAATTCTCAGAAAAAAGTCAGAATTCTCAGAAAAAGAATTCTGACTTTTTTCCCATACGAAACTGAAATAAAATTTATAAATCAGTTAACTTTTTTTTTTTTTTTCCACTGGCCCTAATCCTCTTCCGTAGAAACTAGATGACAGAAATATGAGGTTATATATTTCCAAAGGCAAAGGAAGAATTACCAAGAGCAAAATGGCAGCCAGGATCTGGTAGATGGAGTTGATTTCTTCCTTTGAGAAGCCGATCACATCGAGGGCACTCATCACCGCTTTGTGGTTCGATCGGTCGTTGTTGGTTGTCTGAATAAGAGAAAAAAGTTTAAACATGGACCTTAAGCCCGGCGGGTCCGGTACCGGGCCCAGCTGACCCCTGCTCATGTTTATCTATTTATAGAAATGGCCAAAACACAGTCACATGGTGTTTCATCCCCACACCTTTTAAATGGGGCTTTAAAAGAGATTTAAAATTCCACCTGACATGTGTGACTCTGCAGGAGTAATGCCCAGCAGGTATTCATTAGGGGGGCGGGGCTAGAAATGAATACCTGCAATTGTATTTGTAATTATATTTCCAATTTATAGTTTTGGAGCCGTACTTGCTTTAATTCACATTTGTAATTTCAGGTGAGATTTGCTCCTAAGACCCTCTGGGCTTAAGGGGTTAAACGCTGCTTTATCCACGATTCTTTCTTATTATGACAGATAGAAAACTCACAGCAGCTGCAGCGCCCTCTCTGGTGTAGGTGTAGAGTGCAGGGTCGTTCTCCAGGTGAAATGACTTCAGGATCTCCTCAGTGCCTCCGCGCAGCAGCTGTGGAAACACGACAAACATCTTCAGTCTGATTCCCTCTGCAGCCAAGATCAGAGGAGGTGAATGCAGGAAGTTTACCTGGTAGAAAGAGTGGAAGTTCCTCTCCCCTCCCTGCTGCTGGACCACCCTGGACTTAATGACACGAAAAAAGAAAGAGCAGAGCTTCAGAAAATCGCAAAGTTATGCAGCCAGCCTGCGAAACGAGGCTTTTTAAAATAATTTCACACTTTTAGACCCAGGAAGTTTGGATCCTTTCATTCCGGAAACAGATTTTTGGGGATTTCAATGATTTTAAATAGACTTTTCCAACGATTAGATGTTTATAAACACACTAATGTAATGATGTAATGACAGGAGGCCTTGATTTAAGAGCAGCAGCATCTTTCTTGTCTGTTCATCTAAGAAGTTTCCAGCCCACAACGAGCCGGAGCCGTGCTGGTTTCTGTTGTTCCTGAACATCATCAGAGGAGAACAGTTTGGGTCAGAAGGTCGACACCCATCATAAGTTCCTTCCAGAAACCAAATGGTCCAATACCTAAACCAGTCCTACCCAGAACGTCTAAAGAGGTGGATATAATATATGAATTTCACTGAAAAAAATGTAGCTTTTGAATATTTGCTGGTGAAGATTCTCAGTCATCCACAATCCACTGGATTTCATTTCCAAGTTTGCAATGCCCCATACCTGTAGCCCCGTGAGACCATCCTGATCTCGCGAGCTTTCAAGGTTTCACTCACAGATCAGTCTGGAGACTCTCCGTTAAAGAAAATTTGGAGCCGTTCACCAAACGAACGTCCAATCAGCGTTGGCTTTGAGGCGGGTTGAGGTGTGACGCAACGAGAAGCGCGACAGTTCAGTCTAAAGAACATGGCGGCTTCAGCCGATGAAACTAGCGTTAGCGTGGCTATCGAGCAAGTTTTATCGGAATTACAGAGTATTTCTTCACTGAAAGAAGAGCAAAACACTGCTCTGGAGGCTTTTCTCAGAGGAAAAGATGTTTTTGCTCTTCTCCCGACTGGTTTAAGCAAGAGTTTGATCTATCAATTGGCTCCTCTTCGTCGTCGCTCTGTTAGTACGTCATATGCTTCGTTGATCTGATTGGTTTATTTGGCCCGTCTATCACCAACATAGGCCAATCAGCTAACCAGTATTTTCGCCCCTTCCCAAAATTACTTCAACCGAAGGTTTCCAGATGGATATGCAGAGCAAATCCATCTGGCGGAGTCAGGTTACCATACCCGTCTATGTCTCTGAAAGGGAGTCGTAGAGACTTAGACTGTTTGTCTGGTTCAATTTGTATGTTTTCTAAACAAAAACAATCTTTGTTTTGCTCCACTCTATAAAGCCTCAAACACAACTTTATTTCTGACATTTTGAATTGAAAAAGCTTCCTGGATGGGAAGAGAAACGTCTTCAAACCATTAAAACAAGTGGATTGTTTTTTTTACTTTTTTGGAATCACATTAAATGTTGAATTTTTGAGTAAAGAGCAACAAAGAAGGAGACTATGATGAGGTCCAAGCAGCTGATAAATTATTTTAAATATAAAAAATGAATTCTTCCTTAAAAAATAACATCCTAACATTGTTTTTTTGAGGACAGAGAATAAATTATAAAGAAGAAAACTTTCTGAAATAAATTAATAAGCTGCTTCCGACAGACCAGACCGGGTGGAAATTAGGAGGTTATTTCTGCCCTTTAACAATGAATCACAGCAGGATTCTTCACACCAGCTCTCAGCCTGAAGGTTTTTCTCATCAGACCTGCTGCTAATTAACACACAGCAACGCCATCATCTGGTTGACATTATTCACACGTCTAATAATGGATGTTCTCTAAAGTCAGCAAACCTATGCAGGCACAGCAAAAGCATTAGAACATCAAGGAAAAACTTCTAACATTTGTTGTTTCTTAATTTTAGAAAATTAAACGTATTTATCTTGTAGATAAAGAACACATAAAGATAAAGTCTAGTATTGCAATCTATGGCTGGCAGAGAATGTGCATATCCATAGAAAGTTAAGTGGAAGGAAAAAGTTAGGAAACAAAAGGTTGACCAGCAACAGGGAGAACCGCAGCCTTTAGTGCGGAGAGCTTCAACAGGGGGTCGGCGACCCCTAGGGGTCCAGAGAGGTACTGCATGGGGGTTAAATAGACTTTTCTATATTCCTCCCTGCAATTATTTCCACTGATTAAAATGTCTTTAAATCCACATTAACATGAATTCAACAGACTGTAGTAAACAGATAAATGGAGGCAGAAGATGTCTTTCAGTCATCAATGCCAGTGGCGGTTCTAGACCAAATGTACCAGGGGGCCAGCAGGGGGCCAGCAGGGGGCCAGCGTGTTTTCATTGGGGAACAGAAAGGCATGAAATAAAAAAACAGGACAAGGGATTTAAATATATTAAGATAGCTGCATAAAGTGAAATTTATATTCAATTAGGTTTAATTAAAATTCTATTTCTTATTATGTCAATATACATTCATAATTTTACATATTTTAGACATTATTTAAGTTGAAATAACTATTTTCTATAAAATCTGAATTAGAACTCAAGAAAAACTAAATTCAGCCATAAAAATTAGACCAAATTGTTTTGAAAAAAAAAAACATTTAGCAGATGAAAACTGAGATCATATCTCAATACCACTGAATATATCACCAAATAGTTTTAAAATAATTAGTAAAACAGAATTTGTAAAGAAAAAAATTTAATAGATCCAAAGGACCCATCAGTAACCATGTCTGTTCCAGCGCAGATCATCAGTAGAATTTCTTTGAGTTTTATGTCTTCAGTACAGGGGCCATAACATGATCTACAAGGGCACTGGCCCCCGTTGGCCCCTGTCTAGAACCGCCCATGATCGATGCACACATTCAACGACGCACAGGAGCTCTTTCAAGCTGGACACCGTTTCATTCACAACACCTGTCCCATCAACCAGGAATCAGAAATACTTTAATAATCCCAGGGAGGGATTACTTTAGTTACATTACTCCATCTGTAATAGAGTGACTATAGGACCAGGTTAATAGAACACAGTTTCATACAATATATATAATTAGGGGGCCCCCGCTGCATCTCGCCATAAGTTTGGGGTCCTTGACCTGGAAAAGCACCGGATCTTTGCTCAGTGATACAGACAATGGTGGCTGGCCAATAGAGGGCGCTAGGGAGCCCTGATTAAGACATAAAAATAATTTTTTTTAAATTTATAATCTTATTTTTAATTAAAATGTAAAATATTTCGATGTATTGGTATATATATATTTTCAGATGTGTAAGATGAATATTTTATCTTTAATAATGAGTAAAGCAGAGTTTCGTCGGATTAGTGACGTATTTCCGCCCTAAGGCGCAAAAATTTGTGGTTGTTCTGAACTTGTACATAATTAATTTTTTTATTAGCTGAAGAAAACTGAAATAAAAGTAAAATGAATCTATATCATGCTGCCATCAACACCTTTGTTTATAAATGCTGGAGCTTGGCCTGTTTTCCAGTGTAGTCCTGTTTCTCTGACTGTGACTAACTGGATGTGCTCTCTCCATCCTCTGACATGGGAGCTGGCTCGGAGCTCGTCTGCCTGGCTGTGTGTTTCCTGGACGGGGCCGCCTGTGGAGCTGGTTGACGGTTGCCTTTTGTATCTATGCTTCTTTTTCTATGTCTGCTTCTGTCTCCTTGAACCCCAGTGGGCCTCAGCAGATGGCCGCTCACACTGAGCCTGGTTCTGCTGGAGGTTTCTTCCTGTTCAAAGGGAGTTTTTCCTCTCCACTGTTGCTACAAGCATGCTAGTGTGAGGGATTGCTGAAGAGTCAATGAGTCGATGCAATCAGCTGGTTTTCCTTAGATAGAAAACTTTGAATCAATCTGACTGGATGATCTGGTGAACTGGAAAGTGACCTGAGATGACATGATGTGAATTGGAGCTATAGAAATAAACTGAATAGAAATGAAAATAAGGTTAATTTTCTCAAATATGGGAAACATTGTTGATGCATTTTTTTTCCAAGCTATAAAATGAATCTGTCTGAATCAAAGCTATAAGCTACAGTTTTGTGGGGTTTTTTCAGTTCTTCCTCCATCCTCCTCCTCCTCCCCCCCTCACCTTCTCCAGCAGGTAGTTGTTGATGTGTCCTCCTGTGGGATCCCCGTTGAAGTTAAAGTTTATGTCCATGTACTTCCCGAAGCGGCTGGAGTTGTCGTTGCGGTTGGTCTTGGCGTTCCCGAAGGCCTCCAGCACACAGTTAGACTTCAGCAGAACATTCTTCACGCTGAGGAACCACATTGCAGGAAACGAACATGAATAAGAGAAGAAGAAGAAGAAGAAGGATATTAATAGAGCAGGGAATTAGTAACAATCACTCTTAATAATGCAGGATTCTTTGTGATGAAGCTCTCACCTCTCCACCTCCGCCCTCTGACTGGGGTTTGTGATGGCTGCGATGTATTGCATGATGTATTTACTGGCTTCTGTTTTTCCTGCACCGCTCTCACCTAAAACACAGAGACGGGTTATAGCCACACTGTGATGCAAAGAAGAAAAATCAATTATTGCATTCAATACATTTTAATATAACTATGAGATAATTAGACAGTAGCATTATTAATGTCAGAATGTTAGCATTATGTTTCAAATCTTATTTAAGTTTAGAAACATTAAAATACTGATGATAGTTAATATTACCGACCAGACTTATTTCATTTAAGTTTATGTATTTGAACCATGAGAAGGAACAATGGAACTATGCACACTGGCAAGCTTATTTTTTATGGAAGCAAATCGTTACCATATTTAAAATGAAAAAGCATTTCCAGAAATGCTTTTTTATTTTCAAAATTTACATTTCAAATTGAATTTTGGTATGTATTTGCTGGGGTGCATTTTGAAAAATAAATCTCAAATGTCTTTTTCTTGCTAATTTTAATTAAGTAAAAGGATGAGCAGTGTTGAAGAATTATTGATTACTAATTTCATTTATGACTCAAACAATGCAGCCACATTCTTAAAATGAAAGCATTTCTGGAAATGCTTTTTCATTTGAAATATGATAACGATTTGCTTCCATAATTTTTAGCTAACATGCAAATAGAAATACGCCACCTGCTGGGTGGAAAATCTTTTAATTCCTGGGTTTCCTTTTCTGGACTTATAAGTCCATCTAAATGTATTTTATGTTGCTGAAGTGTAAACTTTAATATTTAAACGTTTTTTCTTTTCACTTAGAATGATAAGAAGATAATCACAAACTCTACCAGATAGAATTAAAAGATCCTTTTTCCTTGTACTACTAATTCATCATCTTTGGATTCTTTGTCATTTGCAGAAAACAAGGTGCTTTTCAGTTTTAAATAGGTCCATTGGAGGGTTATTATTTAATGATAAGGAAGTTTATCACTGAAAGATATTTGGAGGGTTTTTTATTTTATTTTATTTATAAGAGAGGTAAGAAACATGACAATGGAGCACATTAGATCCATCACCTCTTAGAGAGATTTGGGCTCCGCATTAAAACCTCTGAAACCACAAAATAAAAAGTTCTACATACAGGATCATTTGGGGCCTACATTGTTTTTGTTTTCTTTATTTAACATTTACAAAACCATCGCTGGTGAGATAACAGACCCTGTGTTCTGTCAGATGTGCATAGCCATAGTCAATACCCCTTTATTCCTTTAGTTTTGTAAGAAAAATCAACTCAACGGGTGTGTATCACCTAAGTCATGTACAAAAATCTATTTAATTACTTATTTTTTGAGGCGTATAGCGATCTGACCTTAAATTGTTTATTTTTTTAGCTTTCAAAAACCTACCATGCAGCAATAGAGTTGATTCCTTCCCGCTATCATCGCAGCCCTAACCCCTTTACAGAAGAACAAAAGACCTCGCCTGGTCAGCAAGGCCAACTATTGCCTTTAACGACCCCCCTTTCAGAGACATAGACAGGTATTGGGCATGGCAGGCTAACAAAAGAAGCCAAACGACCCCCATTCCAAAGGGGGGGGACCCGTTCATCCGTTTCTATTTGTTTTCTAATAAAAAACCAGGCTTTGTTTTTGGTCCACCCTATAAAGCCTGGAACTCAAAGCTATTCCTGACATATGGAATACAAAAAGCTTCCTGGATGGGAAGAGAAACGTCTTCAAACTTGGAATTGATTGAATGAAGTGAATGTGATTGGTCGTCTATAAAGGGGGCGGGATTGTTGTGGCGGAAGGTTTGCAAGCAAGTTTGGTTGTGGCCGGTTTGTCAGAAGCATCTTGCTAACCAGTTAGCAACCTAGTGCTAGCAGGTTCCCAATGGGAAATTCCATTGGGACCAAGTAGCACTAAATTGGTGACTTAGAAACGACGCTGTCAAGGAACGCTATGGACAGCGGAAACATGCAAGAGGAGGAGAGTTTAGTGTCGGAGGTCGTGGATGAGTCTCCTCCGTCATCCATTTTTTATTTAGAGGAGGAAAGCGGGGACGAAGATGTTGTGGAAGAGGACGCCAGGGCGGCAGAAGCTTGGTTTGGTGTAGAAGGCTTCCAGCCGTACATGTTTGAGCCCTTGCCTCGCAACGCTGCCAGTTCTGTTAGCTCTACGCCTGCCAAAGACACAGACGTCCATCCCCGTGGACACTGGGACGCAACTCAATGGGAAAGGAAAGGATTCTGGTTTCACCCGTTGCGTATATTAGCTGCGACACATGAATCAAGATGCTATGGCTGAAAGATTTGATTGACAGATGACCGTTGATGTATGATTGGCCGAATTTAGGTGTTCAGGCTGACGTAAAACTAACTGGCCTGCAGAAGATAACGATAAAAAACACCCCACAGATTTTAAGACGGGATTTTTTTTTTTTTTTATATAGAAATTTTCTAAATTTTGGGACAATATGGTCTGATAAAGAGTACATTTATATACATGTTTAAACCAGAATGATTTGACATTTAAATATGATTTCCCTCTGACTTTTTAAGCGTCCTTTTGTGGGACATTCTGGTGATGGATGGTGCAGCATGTGAACTGTGCAGAGGAAGACCTGAGATGACGATGCAGGTGTCTTTAGCTCGTCTTTTCATGGCTTTGTAGGCAGCGTCGGACACCGCATACAGGTGAGGAGGGTTTTCATACAGCTCTCGGCCTCGGTACGCATCGATGGCTTCTTTGCCGTAAATGTCCATCTGTCTGTATGGGTTAACGGACACCACCACTTCCCCGATATAGGTGTAGATCCGCCCCTTTTCAAACCTGATGCAGAGAAACAGAAAAACTAATCACAAACTGTCACGCATGTTGTTTTATAAAACCTTCCATGTCATTTTAGGGGAAATCTTTTCCGTCCTCAGGTATCATAGAGGTGGATTTTCCTTTTGATCGCTCACTCTTCCTATGACTTTTGTCTAACCACCCACAAACAACCCTGAACCTAGAGCTGCAGGAAGTATCACACGCCTTGATGTCATGCAAACATGTCAGGAAGTGACACAAGTATTTGTACACCGAGGACAGGAAATGAAACCCGCAACTCGAAGGGTGTCACAGCTCACTGTGGGTTTGTTGAGTTGGGAGGAGTAAAGTTATCACGCCATTGGGGTTAATGGGGGCTGCCATATTAGACACCAGCAGACATTTCGGTCACACAGCTTTGCCTTTGCACATAGTGGAGGGTATTTAGGGTGTTAGGACCAAAATATCTCTGCAGCTCTGTGAATATAAGAGGAAGTAATGATGCTTCTCTGAAGATTAAAGTTATCAGCGTTTCCATTATCAGAAAAACATTCAAGTGAGGAATAAAATATTTTTGATAGAAAAAAAACACAATTATTTGATTTAAATTGAAAATTAAACCAAGTTAAAAAAAAAGGGAAAAAGGGCAGATATTCTGAAATACAGGATCTATGCTAACATTTCAGGGGAATCAGTAGCTTTGAATAGATGGCGTCTGAATGTGTTTATAGTCTTTCAATTTAAAATCACAAACCTAATCATCATATTAGGTTACATGTTGCCTGCAAACTCCCAGAACCAGGAGTGTCTCTTTGGACCTAGAATGGCTCTTAATTACTTTGACAAAAAATATACAGTAGAAGCCATTCAGAATATACCCGCTTTCCTTGATGGGTCCTTGGCTGGTCCTTAGCTGGTCCTTGGCTGGTCCTTGGCTAGTACTTGGCTAGACCTTGGCTGATCCTTGGCTGGTCCTTGGCTAGACCTTGGCTGATCCTTAGCTGGTCCTTGGCTGGTCCTTGGCTGGTCCTTGGCTAGTACTTGGCTAGACCTTGGCTGGTCCTTGGCTAGACCTTGGCTGATCCTTGGCTGGTCCTTGGCTGGTCCATGGCTAGTCCTTGTTTAGTCCTTGGCTGCACCTTGTTTAGTCCTTGGCTGATCCTTGGCTGGTCCTTGGCTAGTACTTGGCTAGACCTTGGCTAGACCTTGGCTGATCCTTGGCTGGTCCTTAGCTGGTCCTTGGCTAGCCCTTGGTCGGTCCTTGGCTGGTCCTTGGTTGGTCCTTGGCTGGTCCTTAAGTTGTGTTTAGCTAGTCCTTGGTTGGTCCTTGGCTGGTCTTTAAGTGGTGCTTAGCTAGTCCTTGGAAAGTGCGTGGCTGGTCCTTGGTTGGTCCTTGGCTAGTCCTTGGTTGGTCCTTGGCTAGTCACTGGCTGGTCCTTGGTTGGTCCTTGGCTGGTCCTTGGTTGGTCCTTAAGTGGTGCTTACTAGTCCTTGGCAAGTGCTTTGCTGGTCCTTGGTTTCTCCTTGGCTAGTCCTTGTTTAGTCCTTGGCTGATCCTTGGCTAGTCCTTGGCTGGTCCTTGGCTGGTCCTTGGCTAGTCCTTGGTTGATCCTTGTTTAGTCCTTGGCTGGTCCTTGTTTAGTCCTTTTCTGGTCCTTGTTTAGTCCTTGGCTGGTCCTTGGCTAGTACTTGGCTAGACCTTGGCTGTTCCTTGGCTAGACCTTGGCTGATCCTTGGCTGGTCTTTGGCTGGTCCTTAGCTGGTCCTTGGCTGGTCCTTGGCTAGTACTTGGCTAGACCTTGGCTGATCCTTGGCTGGTCCTTGGCTAGACCTTGGCTGATCCTTAGCTGGTCCTTGGCTGGTCCTTGGCTAGTACTTGGCTAGACCTTGGCTGGTCCTTGGCTAGACCTTGGCTGGTCCTTGGCTGGTCCTTGGCTAGTCCTTGTTTAGTCCTTGGCTGCACCTTGTTTAGTCCTTGGCTGATCCTTGGCTGGTCCTTGGCTAGTACTTGGCTAGACCTTGGCTGGTCCTTGGCTAGACCTTGGCTGATCCTTGGCTGGTCCTTAGCTGGTCCTTGGCTAGCCCTTGGTCGGTCCTTGGCTGGTCCTTGGTTGGTCCTTGGCTGGTCCTTAAGTTGTGTTTAGCTAGTCCTTGGTTGGTCCTTGGCTGGTCTTTAAGTGGTGCTTAGCTAGTCCTTGGAAAGTGCGTGGCTGGTCCTTGGTTGGTCCTTGGCTAGTCCTTGGTTGGTCCTTGGCTAGTCACTGGCTGGTCCTTGGTTGGTCCTTGGCTGGTCCTTGGTTGGTCCTTAAGTGGTGCTTACTAGTCCTTGGCAAGTGCTTTGCTGGTCCTTGGTTTCTCCTTGGCTAGTCCTTGTTTAGTCCTTGGCTGATCCTTGGCTAGTCCTTGGCTAGTCCTTGGCTGGTCCTTGGCTAGTCCTTGGCTGGTCCTTGGTTGATCCTTGTTTAGTCCTTGGCTGGTCCTTGTTTAGTCCTTTTCTGGTCCTTGTTTAGTCCTTGGCTGGTCCTTGGCTAGTACTTGGCTAGACCTTGGCTGTTCCTTGGCTAGACCTTGGCTGATCCTTGGCTGGTCTTTGGCTGGTCCTTAGCTGGTCCTTGGCTGGTCCTTGGCTAGTACTTGGCTAGACCTTGGCTGATCCTTGGCTGGTCCTTGGCTAGACCTTGGCTGATCCTTAGCTGGTCCTTGGCTGGTCCTTGGCTAGTACTTGGCTAGACCTTGGCTGGTCCTTGGCTAGACCTTGGCTGGTCCTTGGCTGGTCCATGGCTAGTCCTTGTTTAGTCCTTGGCTGCACCTTGTTTAGTCCTTGGCTGATCCTTGGCTGGTCCTTGGCTAGTACTTGGCTAGACCTTGGCTGGTCCTTGGCTAGACCTTGGCTGATCCTTGGCTGGTCCTTAGCTGGTCCTTGGCTAGCCCTTGGTCGGTCCTTGGCTGGTCCTTGGTTGGTCCTTGGCTGGTCCTTAAGTTGTGTTTAGCTAGTCCTTGGTTGGTCCTTGACTGGTCTTTAAGTGGTGCTTAGCTAGTCCTTGGAAAGTGCGTGGCTGGTCCTTGGTTGGTCCTTGGCTAGTCCTTGGTTGGTCCTTGGCTAGTCACTGGCTGGTCCTTGGTTGGTCCTTGGCTGGTCCTTGGTTGATCCTTGTTTAGTCCTTGGCTGGTCCTTGTTTAGTCCTTTTCTGGTCCTTGTTTAGTCCTTGGCTGGTCCTTGGCTAGTACTTGGCTAGACCTTGGCTGGTCCTTGGCTAGACCTTGGCTGATCCTTGGCTGGTCTTTGGCTGGTCCTTAGCTGGTCCTTGGCTGGTCCTTGGCTAGTACTTGGCTAGACCTTGGCTGATCCTTGGCTGGTCCTTGGCTAGACCTTGGCTGATCCTTAGCTGGTCCTTGGCTGGTCCTTGGCTGGTCCTTGGCTAGTACTTGGCTAGACCTTGGCTGGTCCTTGGCTAGACCTTGGCTGGTCCTTGGCTGGTCCATGGCTAGTCCTTGTTTAGTCCTTGGCTGCACCTTGTTTAGTCCTTGGCTGATCCTTGGCTGGTTCCTTGGCTAGTACTTGGCTAGACCTTGGCTGGTCCTTGGCTAGACCTTGGCTGATCCTTGGCTGGTCCTTGGCTAGACCTTGGCTAGCCCTTGGTCGGTCCTTGGCTGGTCCTTGGTTGGTCCTTGGCTGGTCCTTAAGTTGTGTTTAGCTAGTCCTTGGTTGGTCCTTGGCTGGTCTTTAAGTGGTGCTTAGCTAGTCCTTGGAAAGTGCGTGGCTAGTCCTTGGTTGGTCCTTGGCTAGTCCTTGGTTGGTCCTTGGCTAGTCACTGGCTGGTCCTTGGTTGGTCCTTGGCTGGTCCTTGGTTGGTCCTTAAGTGGTGCTTACTAGTCCTTGGCAAGTGCTTTGCTGGTCCTTGGTTTCTCCTTGGCTAGTCCTTGTTTAGTCCTTGGCTGATCCTTGGCTAGTCCTTGGCTAGTCCTTGGCTGGTCCTTGGCTGGTCCTTGGCTGGTCCTTGGCTGGTCCTTGTTTAGTCCTTGGCTGGTCCTTGTTTAGTCCTTTTCTGGTCCTTGTTTAGTCCTTGGCTGGTCCTTGGCTAGTACTTGGCTAGACCTTGGCTGGTCCTTGGCTAGACCTTGGCTGATCCTTGGCTGGTCTTTGGCTGGTCCTTAGCTGGTCCTTGGCTGGTCCTTGGCTAGTACTTGGCTAGACCTTGGCTGATCCTTGGCTGGTCCTTGGCTAGACCTTGGCTGATCCTTAGCTGGTCCTTGGCTGGTCCTTGGCTGGTCCTTGGCTAGTACTTGGCTAGACCTTGGCTGGTCCTTGGCTAGACCTTGGCTGGTCCTTGGCTGGTCCATGGCTAGTCCTTGTTTAGTCCTTGGCTGCACCTTGTTTAGTCCTTGGCTGATCCTTGGCTGGTTCCTTGGCTAGTACTTGGCTAGACCTTGGCTGGTCCTTGGCTAGACCTTGGCTGATCCTTGGCTGGTCCTTGGCTAGACCTTGGCTAGCCCTTGGTCGGTCCTTGGCTGGTCCTTGGTTGGTCCTTGGCTGGTCCTTAAGTTGTGTTTAGCTAGTCCTTGGTTGGTCCTTGGCTGGTCTTTAAGTGGTGCTTAGCTAGTCCTTGGAAAGTGCGTGGCTAGTCCTTGGTTGGTCCTTGGCTAGTCCTTGGTTGGTCCTTGGCTAGTCACTGGCTGGTCCTTGGTTGGTCCTTGGCTGGTCCTTGGTTGGTCCTTAAGTGGTGCTTACTAGTCCTTGGCAAGTGCTTTGCTGGTCCTTGGTTTCTCCTTGGCTAGTCCTTGTTTAGTCCTTGGCTGATCCTTGGCTAGTCCTTGGCTAGTCCTTGGCTGGTCCTTGGCTGGTCCTTGGCTAGTCCTTGGTTGATCCTTGTTTAGTCCTTGGCTGGTCCTTGTTTAGTCCTTTTCTGGTCCTTGTTTAGTCCTTGGCTGGTCCTTGGCTAGTACTTGGCTAGACCTTGGCTGGTCCTTGGCTAGACCTTGGCTGATCCTTGGCTGGTCTTTGGCTGGTCCTTAGCTGGTCC